AGGGAAAGTGTAATTTGCTTGTCTGTATTCCTGTGTACCAAGTAATAAAACATGTTTTGAATCTAGTTTTAAATCTAGCACTTGCAGCTGGGTTAGCAGCAGAAATAGGGGGTTTATTCAATACTAATAAAGGAATTAGATAGTTTTATGCCAGGACATTTTCTTAATTCTTTTTCTCCTTGCTGCTTTAGTGATCTTCCTCCTGACATCAACAGATTTGAAATAACTCTTAGTAATAAAACGAAGAAAAGCAAAGATCCTGATATCTGTAAGTTGACACAGAAATTTCTAAAGTAAAAAAGCATGTTTTATATACTTTGGAAATTCATAATGAAGTATAGTCTAAAATGGAAATTAAAAAGGTGTGTAAGCAATGTAACTTGAGATAGCTTCTTTTTATACTTCTACAAGTATTGATTGCTGTATCTAAAAAAGAAAAAAGAAAAAGACCAAAAAGGCTAAATTGAATATACTGTAAACTTAAGCCCTTAGGATTAAAGTATCTGCTCACCCTCCCTCCACAACGTATAAGAGGAAAAAGAAAACAGTAACAGTGGTCATCTTTCTGTGGTGCTTCCTTATCCCTTCTTCCTACTTTTTAGGTTTCTCCTACTATCCTATACTTTGCATGTAAACGAAAAAAAGCACTCTGTTAAATTTTTTTCTTTAAATTAGATTACACTGCTCACTTCTGGTAGTCAGTACTGGTTCTCAGCAGCACAACTTTTCCCAGTCTGTTTCTGAAAGAGGTGGCAATGGGATTGAGCAATTCACACCAGAGTGAATTAGGTTAATCCTTAAATACCTTCTTAAAAATCAGGCTTAGGGGGAAAAAAAGTGCTATGTGTTAACAGAATCAAAGCCTGAATTTTTTGCTATAAATAATATTTATTCTGTAATTTCTGTACTACTATTAAAATGCTTAACATTTTTAGTGGTCCCCCATCATTTTTAAGATAAAATCTAACCCCCTAGCAATGATACAGAAGAAAGGCTCTTTCCTGATCCACTCCTCCCCACTCTTACTTTCACTGTGGAATCTTTTGTATATCCTTCTCTCCAGCTACACCAGCTTTCTTATAGCTCTTAAATTATCCATGGATTTTTAAAACCATCCACCATACCTTCTGTTCAGACTGCACACTCTTTTTTTCTCTGTTTCTACTTAGCTACACTTCCAGATCTTGTTACAAGTCAGCTTAAGGGGGTACCTGTTTGGAATGGATGTTTAACCTCCACAGAATGAATTAGACATTATTTCTCTGTACTTCATTAGCATACACCACTTTACAGCACTTAGCATGGGGTATCATAATTGATTTCTCGCCTCCTTGGCTAGACTGTTACCTCCATGCAAGTCAGAGACTGTATCTTAATCATGTCTGTATCCCACATCCCTGCCTATCAGAGAGTCTGGCACATAGTAGGCATTCAGTAAATGAATGAAGTATTTAGTATTAAATTTATGATATTACTGAAAAGTCCTTTAATAAAAAGCATTTAACACTATAGATAAGAGAACATTAGGAAATTTTGTGTGACTAATTACAGTGTCATCTTTTCAGACACTAATCATTTGATATTTTTCTGTCACAGTATTTATGCGCTGCCAGTTGAGCCGGCTGCAGAAAGGGCATGCCACAGATGAATGGTTTTTGCTCAGCTCCCATATACCATTGAAAGGTATTGAGCCAGGATCCCTGCGCGTCCGAGCACGATATTCTATGGAAAAAATCATGCCAGAAGAAGAGTACAGCGAATTTAAAGAGGTATTAAAGTTATTTACCAGTCCAATTATTTTTAAAGGCATTAAGAAAAATAATTAACTTTTTTCCCCCCAGCATCCCTACTGGAGTATAATTGCTCCACAATGCTGTGTTAGTCTCTACCATACAACAAAGTGAATCAGCCACACGCACACATATATCCCTATATCTCCTCCCTCTTGCGTCTCCCTCCCTCCCACCCTCCCTATCCCACCCCTCTAGGTGGTCACAAAGCACCGAGCTGATCTCCCTGTGCTATGCACTGCTTCCCACCATACCCATTGAGCTAAATATAGTAATTTCATAGTTTAGTGGCACAGTGACAGGCAGAGAAGGTTGAAAAGCCTTGCAACAGTATGACATTGCTTTTAAGAGACTATAAATATGTAGGTTACAAACTCATTCTGTCTTTAATAAATTTATTCAATAGAACATATTCCTAAATGTATGCATATAGAAGAATGTATTTCCTGTTAATGTTACTGAGAATACTTAATGCTGTGTACTTTCAACAATCTTTCTTGATGTCATTTTTAGCTTATACTGCAAAAGGAGCTTCATGTAGTCTATGCTTTATCACATGTATGTGGACAGGACCGAACACTACTGGCTAGCATCCTACTGAGGATTTTTCTTCATGAAAGGCTTGAATCGTTGTTGTTATGTACACTAAATGACAGAGAAATAAGCATGGAAGGTACAGTATAGAAGTGTTAGTGTGATACTTTTAAAAACTGGTTAGTGATTAGATTTTATATATCAAGTATATTATGTCCTCTATCTTAGAACATATTAAATAGTTAAATCATTTTACAAAGTTACTCAGTTTTTCATTCATTAAAAATTACAGTTGGAATGTCATTTCTGATTCTTAGGCTGGCTAATATGGGGGGGGGTATTATCTCTAATACAACTTTCTGTCATGGCAAATTAGAAGCTGTAAGAAAGTGACTTCTGTGTCCAGATCAATGGCTCATACTGCTTGGTTATTAAGAATAGTTTGGTATGCTTACCATGTTCTCTTGTTTGTTTTTTGCTTATAAATTCATTGCACAAAAGTTGGGTGTTAGCTGCATTTTATTTCTGCCTTCTATAGGTAGGTAGTTTCCAGGCAATTTAGCTGGACCCACAGTAGTTTGTAACAGCTTATAAATATGTCAGAATAACCCATTTCAAACCAGCCCTTTGACTCAATAACAGTACTTGCTTCTAGGTTCCCCAAATAAACTGTAAAATCGAAAACTATTTCCTCCTAATCATAGAAAATATGAAAATATTTTATATAGATTTGTCAGGAGAGATAAAGTGGTGGTACATATTTTACACTGAGATTTTCTTTTCTGGCAATATTTGTGCTTTTTTGGGTTTTTTAAAAAGTCATGAATAGCCATATTTTAGGCAAGTAAGTTAATTTATACTGGGGTTTTACGTTACATTCTTGTTTGTAAATTAACTCAGATTTTTTAAAGCGTGGGCTCAGTGGGACAGCAGAGGTGGATTCTGGTCCTAGTTTTGTCACTATTTGGCTCTTTAGTCTTAGATAAGTCATATAACCATCCAGAGCCTTTCTTTGTTCATATAATGTGGCAGTGTTAATTCCTTCTCCTGTTTATGATCTAATGAAGGGAAGGAATAGAAAGTCTTTTGAAGAGTTAAGTTTATAGGAATATAGGATGTCATTATAATCAATATTTAATGCTACATGCAAATAAACATACTTAAATAGCTATAATTATTTGAGGAAAAAATGAATTCATTTAATTTCCAATTTGATTCACATTAAGTACAATCCTTTACAGATAATTTTTTAATATCTATATATTGATGTAGATGAAGCCACTACCCTATTTCGAGCTACAACACTTGCGAGTACGTTGATGGAGCAGTATATGAAAGCCACTGCTACACAATTTGTTCATCACGCTTTGAAAGACTGTATCTTAAAGATAATGGAAAGCAAGCAGTCTTGCGAGGTGAGTATTGCAGCAAAGAGCATATTTTAATAGGTAATGCTTTATAGCTAACTGAATTTCAAGGCAAATATATTAGCTGTCTGAAACTGTTCATCAGAACAGTTATACCTTTTGTAATACGTTTAGAAAAATGTTATGCAAAACAGACTTTTTAAAAAAGATGTACTTTATTTGGAGATTAAAAACCTCGAATTGCACCAGAAATACATGAAAGTACTTTATCATTTCTCCTGCTGTACTAATGATAAAAGTGTATGCTACTTTCAGAAAGTGTGCAAACATAAATTGAAGTTATTGTTAGAGATTTCTGTTGTGTAAGTTCTATGTGACACTTGCTAATAACATCTAGGTTTCTCCTCAAAGGTTTTTTTGAAGTGGGGGTGGTGGTGGGAGGGTCAGAGGTACAAGATAACCCCCTCAAAAGCAAATAAAAACATCCTTTTAGATTATTGAGGCTTCAGTCTAAACTCATAACAAACCATTAAGAAAAGGAGTAGAATCTCATTTATATGGCTATTCCATCATTTTATTTTGAAGGCAGAGCAACTATAGAAGGAGGATATTAAATATATTTTTTATGTCTGATACAAAATAAAGGAACTGCTTTTGATAATGTATACTGGGAGCACTCAAAATGTTAATTCTGCACCAAGTTGTCAATTTTTACTAATTAATTTAAGGGGAAGAAATGGATAATTTAGTGTTGGAAACCTGGGGTTAACACCATAGTTGGTCTAGTAAGTGTAAAGGATACAGAAATGCAGCAAGCCTGCAGAAAGTCTCTGGACGTTAAATCCAGGCTAGGGAATTTAGATTCCTATAGATAAATCTACTCCATTAATTCTAGATAAGAATTCTTAGATTTTAGAAGTTACTGGCAAGTTTTTAAAGGGTTCATGATGCTGCCTCTGAGGCATTTGGTATTTTATTAGTCATTTGAACAGTCTTATCTCATTCAGAAAAACCTTTCTATTTTAATCAGCTTTTTTCCTCAAATAGATAGATTTAAGATAGGTTTTATAATAATATACAGTGATCTTTCTTTCCAATTAAATACTTCTAGTATATTTGTGCATGTGGCCACTGAAGCTAGGATTTTTTTGTCTTCTGGTTGGGAATATTATATTTAAAATAAAGTCTAATACAGTTTTATGTGCCTGTAAAAATCTGTGGTAAAATGTGGTAAATGAATAAAAGAAAACTTCATTAATTGTACTAACCCAAAGCAACTGAAAACTGTTGAACAATCATTGCTCTTCAGTTGAGTAGATGGGAATTAATGGTAACAAGTCCATTAGGAGTTCCACAGAGCAAACCCTAGTTAGCCCCACACCACCACCGAAAGACTAATACAGTTTGAAAAATGGAAAAATAGAGAACCTTGAAAAAAACTGCTTGATTACCTTGATTCATTTGCATTTATCATTGCCAAGATGCATTTATATTGATTTATTCCTTCTCTTAGTTAAGTCCATCAAAGTTAGAAAAAAATGAAGATGTGAACACTAATTTAGCACACCTATTGAACATACTTTCAGAGCTTGTGGAGAAAATATTCATGGCTTCAGAAATACTTCCACCGTAAGTGGTGAAATTTTAATTTGACAATAAATTGTATATTTGCATTTTAAAAAATTTGTATTTCTAAAACGTGTAAGCTTTTCCACTGTCCTGATGTTATTATACTCTGAAGAAGTTAGGGTTTTTAATCTTTACACGATGAATTGTGTTTAAGGAAACAGAGTGACTTGAAGAAACCAAAGTGAAATATTTGCATTAAAATAAAACAAATCATGTTTTTATACAGGCCAGTATGTCTGGTTTATATAGTAACTTGGGGAAAGAATAGCAGCTTATCTCAGGTTTGAGGAGGTCATAAAAGACACGTATCTCTCCAGTCTGTAGTTGAACATCTTGCTCAAAATATACACGAGATAATTACTCGGTGTCTGCTTAGCGGCTTCCGGTGTTAGTCAGCTCGCTTATTCAGGTAGAAGTTAACTTACATTAAAATCTGTCTCCCTGGAACCTGTACTCATTAGTTCCTCTATATCCGCATTCCAGTACTTCTTCATACTTTTCTTTAATACAGAAGTAATCTAAAAATGGTAGGATTTCTTCCAAAGTAAATGTAAAGAACTGGTTAAATGAATTGATGATGAAAACTTTTAAAAGTTTTCCTTTTCCTTTGCTAAATATCACTACTTGTAACAGAACTTTTTTGGGGAAAATGGCCAGTTGCATTTAAAAATGTCATGGATTTCGTAAATTAAGCTTTAGGCTGCAGTGAGATCAGTATTTTCAAGTGCTTTCTGTATTAAGATGGTTGTGTTATTTTGGCAGGACACTGAGGTATATTTATGGGTGTTTACAGAAATCTGTTCAGCATAAGTGGCCTACAAATACCACCATGAGAACAAGAGTTGTTAGGTAAGACTTAATGTTTTGTTAAATCATATAGCCTGCACTGAGAGTCAAATGGATAATTGTGAAAATGTGGAGACTAACAGTATACAGTATACAATTTTAAGACCTTTTTTCTTTGACTTTTATGTCAGAGCCCTGTTGAATATTTTCTGAATTCAGGTAGCTCCTAAACTTTAACTTACTTTGTTTTTGTTTTGAAGTTACTATGAGATACTTAGCTAGCAAGCTACCTTTTTGCATTTTCTAAAAACCTCAACATTCACTGATGGGAGGAGAGAAAGACTGGTTGATTTGTGCTGAGAACGAAAAGCAATCATTGAACAATTTAGATATTAATTAATTGGTTTGTAACAGTTTGTGACTCAGGGCTAATCTCCAGCCAGAGTCTACTTTAGTTCTGAAGCTGTTACAGTGTGTTCATTGTGCAGTAATTAGGAGGAATTGCTTTGTCAAGTCATAGCATTTTGTAGCTTATACAGGGGGACTTTGTTGTCATTTCGGTAACTTTTCCAATGAGGAAGCAGATCTGTAGAGATTAAATTGTTTGCTTAAGGTTATACAGAAAGTTAGTGGCTAAGGCAGAACTAAAGGCAAAACATCTAAGACCCAATCTAATATCCTTAACACTCCTGTACACTTTTGTTAAGCACACCCCAACCCATTCAAGACAGTAGGAAATTAGTGCAAAAGCATCAGAGAATTCAGGAGTCTAATAATAAAATTTATCATATAGAATATATGCTGCCCATCATGTTATACACTATTAAAAAAAAATTGGGCAACTACTGAAGGCACCAATATCATATAATTAGTTTTGAAAATGTGTGTTAATCCTGCCCCCAACCTAAATCTTGTAAAGAGCCTTCTACTCTTTTTACAGATAAAATGTTTAAGAATTGTAGATTCGGGCTTCCCTGGTGGCGCAGTGGTTGAGAGTCCGCCTGCCGATGCAGGGGACACGGGTTCGTGCCCCGGTTTGAGAAGATCCCACATGCCGCGGAGCGGCTGGGCCCGTGAGCCATGGCCGCTGAGCCTGCGCGTCCGGAGCCTGTGCCCCGCAACGGGAGAGGCCACAACAGTGAGAGGCCCACGTACTGCCAAAAAAAAAAAGAATTGTAGATTCTGTATTTCTTGGCTTTAGTAGTGATTGAGAGGACTAGAAACGTATTACAAGCATATAATGTTGCAGCACAGTTTTGTGTGATGTAAATGAAAACTTTTGTAAGTTTCAAACAAGTATATTGGTTAAGCAAATAGCTGGAAATTCTGCTATGTGGATTATCTGATACTACAGGGTCTTCTAAGGGGCATTTATGGCCAAGGTGGTGATTTCTATCCCTAGTTAAGCTTTTAAATATATGTGTAGATACCTAGTATCCCTCTTAAATTTAAAATCACCTCTAAAAATTCCCAGAAAGTGGATTTGCACACTGAAATTCTTTTATGGTTTGGTGTTGCTAGCTTATATTTCAGATTCAAAGACAAAGATATCAAAATGTTTTCAAGCAAAATTTGTGCAAGATTCTTCATAAATTACCTGCTATAAAGAAATCTAAAGACTTAATAATTGTATACTAAGAATAAATGCTATCTGAGAAGCAACACATTAATTTTTCTAAGACTCCCCAAAATTAGCAAACAACATCATTGGGAGGTAAATGCTGAGAAGTTGGGTTATTCACTCTAATAGAGAACAGAGACTGTGTCAATTATTTTAATCTCTAAAAGGAATTTTATCAACTTGGAAATAATGCTTGTCTTTACAAGGGCAGGTGCGAGGTCAATTATTAGTGTGGATTCCTCTTAAGAGGAAATTAGAGACATATTATCTACACAAAAACATAAACTCTACCAGTAACCGAAGAAGGGAGCAGACTAGGAATAGCTATATACACTTGTAGTTTTACTTTGTACTTTGTTCCCAGAGTAAGATTAGCAGGCAAAATCATACATGACAACTGTTATTAAGCCATGTGTTTTTACACTAATTTTTGGTTTTGCTATTAATATTTTGTAATTTGAGAACTTTTTTTAACTTTACAAAGCATGATGTCTTTTTCTTCATTGCCTTAAAAGCTTTTCAACATTGTTTGTATACATTTTCATTTATCAAGAAGTCACTTTTTCCCTAGTACAGTGGATTAATTTTTATGTAACTCAACAAAATCAGTATAACCAACTTCATTTATACACTTTACTGAGCTGTTCTGTTTAAAGAAAGAGAAGTTAGAGAACGTTAGTTTTAGGACCTTACAGGGCTATGTGTCTATTAAAAGGGTTTATTTGTACTCCTACAGTATTTCAGAAATTCTTAGTGTTCCTAAGGACACTCCTTCCTCAAAGTAAGTATAAAATGCACTACTAGCTTGGAATAAGTAAATAGTAGCCAAAACAGTAAGTCTTACAGATACAACTTAAATCTTCCCAAAGTAAATCTAAAAATCTAAATTCGAGAAAAGTGAATAATGTTTAAGCAGCAAATATATGTTCTTAAAGTAAGATACTTTAGCTTATTATTTTCATAAAGTTGCATATTTGGTCTTCCCTACATTAGTTCAAAGTTCATGGTTCTACAGGTACTAACATTTTTGTTTATATATATTATTTTAATGTAACACATATTGTAGTTTTCTAAAAAAACAAAATTTCCCTCCCATTCAGTGGTTTTGTTTTTCTTCGACTTATCTGTCCTGCCATCCTGAACCCACGGATGTTTAATATCATCTCAGGTAATCAGCTTTTGATAAATTTTGAAATTAAAAAAATAGTTTCATACTCTTTAGTAAGGTTACTCATTTTTCCTTTTAAATCTTTTTTTTTTAGTCCAATTATAAGACTTGGTATAAAACATTCCAAAGCACCCCTTTCTTCTTCCTTTTGGTACTTTACCTTTTCTTTCCATTTTGTTTCTTAACCTTTCTTTCCATCTAATATTTGAAGCCTGAGATGGCATGATTAGACACAAATCATTTTTTCCCATCCCTACCTATGTCTCAAACTCTTATGATGATGACTTTCCAGCCTGCAACACTGGCTTTTTCAAGTTGGGAAGAAGAGCTTCCTGTGTGCTTTTAACCCATGCTAGACCCTGTCACTACCATTGCAAGTCGGTTAAAATTATAGCTGCAGTTGCAGTAGTACTCTGTGAATACTTATGAAGAAAGTAGCCCTTTGAGATTTCCCAGTAGAGATTTCTTGTCACCACCTATATGTTAATTGGCATTTTAAACTCCAACAAACCAGATTCAGTTTTGCTTATTACCCAAATGCCCATTATGGACTGACTTTCAGAAGTCGTATTCAAATAAAGGGTAAGAATGATATTTGTGACTACAAATGTAATCATGAGCCATCATTAGCAGAAGGAACCTGAAGTATTTTTGTCTTGATAATTTGAAGCTCAAAATTGTATTAAAATTTTTTGGAGTATCTTACCTTTATAGCCATCATATCTCTGTAGTTATCTCCAATTGCTACTAAAATGGTTAAATCTATGGGTCTACTAAGAATTAAGGGTTTATAATTCTTTTGGAGAGATTTATTTATGTGAACGTTAGACTCTGAACCGCTAGGCAATATTATTTATAGTTTAGCAACTTCAGATAAAAAGAATACAGTCTGAAATCAGGCAGCCAGATAGACTATCTATAGGTTTTTACTGTTAAATAATTATGTTTTAGAGCTTAAAATTAATAGAGACAAATATTTTTCATTTACATCCTATTATCTATATAGGGCAGTGCTTCCTGATTAACCTTTAAAATATTTTTTAAAAATTAATAAATTGCATGTTTTTCTCCTCAAAATAAAGCAGAGGTTCCAGACTTTGTTATTGAGCTTTAAGGTGAATTATTTGAGTCATTGGAGGCTGGGAGCAAGGAATTGCTCATATTGCAAATTGCTAATCTTGGATGGGTTGAAATTAGCTTTGTGAATTGTCCTGTAGGGTATGTGGAGTAACAAGTCTTTTTAGCAATAAGATAAAGCTTTGAAGTATTTTGAAATATCCTGTAGTACCCTTTTCACAAACTAAAAGCACTGATAAGTGTATTCAGTTTTTCCCCCTTTAAATCAAGCTCTTTTGAATTATACAGGTCATACTTTTTCCAAAAAACATTGAGTTCTGAATGGAAGAATATTAGTATTTTTAACAGTAAAGAAATATTAAAGTGCTAAATTTATAATGGTTTACTTGGAAGTACCTTTGGAGTTGGTGTCATTAGCTGTGCCCAATTCTCTTATAGATTCCCCATCTCCTATTGCTGCAAGAACACTGATATTAGTGGCTAAGTCTGTGCAGAACTTAGCAAATCTTGTGGAATTTGGAGCTAAGGTAAAAACATTTTGATACTTTAAAATGTCATTTATGAATGAAACTTTGACACGATAAAACCATAAAATATGGCATAAGTAAATTTTCAACAGTGGATATTTCATAAAGATAATTTACGATTTTGTTGATATGTTCATATTTTTAGATGCTTTTAGATTTTACTTTTTAATAGTGGAATTTTAAAAACCACCACTTTCACTAGTAGTATAGAAAGGTATTTTTTCAGTATAATTTCCAGTATCATCAGATTCTTCCACTTTTAAATATAAAAATCAATGAGCATATTTTTAAATGCACCCCAATCAATTTTATTATGTATTGCATAATAAACATTCTCTGTAAATATTAAAATTCGGATGAGTTTTTAAAACACCCATATGTGATCCCACTATCAAAAGATAATGACTGTTAATGTTCTGGTAGGGATAATACTATGTCATCTGCTTTTGTTAATATTAACAGATAACAAGTATCCTTATATGTACTTCCTTTCAAACTTGTCCAGTTATTTCTTTAAATGAACTTTGGAGTAAAAGTACTAAGTAAGAAGACATTTTGCTCCCCACAGCCTTGCCAAAACTCAACTAGTATTACTTTTTTATTTTTGACAACCTGATAAGCATGTTACTTTTTGTGTCATTATTTCATTACTCTTAGAACTGTATGATTTTTCATGTCTGTTTCTTTGGAATCGTCTATTGAGGTCCTTATCTCATCTTACTGATTTTAAGAGAGTGTGTATTAATACTAACCCTTCCCCGTTTTACAACATAGCATATTTCCGAATCGGTTTAAGATTTTAGAATGAAGCAGTTTATAGTATGACTCAGCTTTTGAATTTATCTGAACCCTGAGGCAGGTTATGAGTACCAATTTTTTATTGCAGTCCCTACCACACTATATTTTAATTCCCTATATTCTCTGCTAGGTTCTAATAACCTCTGGGTACTTGGCAAATATTGGCAGTTTCTCACTATTTTTGAATGACCGACATATAAGAAATTTTGTTTGTTAGGCTATGTGTGCTTTTTTTCATCCAGAATTTGTTTACTAAAGTACTCCATACTCCTATTCCTCAGAATAGCTGCTTGCTTATATTAGAAGGAAAAATATGGTCATTGTATAATTAGTTCTTATGAATAATGTGCTGCTACTGATAATTTGATTTATAAGAATTTTTGCTACATGTATGGTTTTTGTTATGGACCAGATAATGTTTTTGATGCATATATAGTAAGCTTTTTGTTTTTATATTTTTAGGAGCCTTACATGGAAGGTGTCAATCCATTCATCAAAAGTAACAAACATCGTATGATCATGTTTTTAGATGAACTTGGGGTATGCATATAATTTGACATCTATACTTAATATAGCTGAGTCTAACTCATTTAAGCAACAACCTTTAGAAAGGTTTTCTATCCAGAGCTTAAAACAAAACTGCATATTTTTGTCTACCTTCCTAAACAAATTACTTCATTTGATATCATTGTAACAGTTTATTCTTACACTGAATGATTTACACCAAGAATAGAGGACTGTGGCTTTTGAACTGCCTGTGTCAATTTTTAGTTTGTCCCACCTCACCACTATGATACTCTGTTGCTGCTTTAGCTACTTTAACTTTCCTGCTACTGTGTGGAATGTGAAACAAGATGGATAACCCACAGTTCTGGCCAGTTTAATAAGTAAATGGACTGGAGAATGTATGTTCCTGTGGCTTTTCTAAGAATAAAATACGTGGATTTGGTGTTAAACTTCATTCAGTGGGACTACATATGCCTTACTTAGGCATTTATAAATAAGTTGTGATTATAAAATTAAGAATGGGATTTAAAAAATAATTTTTAAGACCCTGGATTTCTTAGTAAAGTTAAATTTTCTTGTTATAGATCTTCAGATACTACATCAATTAAAAACTAAATTATTAGCAATTCAGTTCATAAATATAGAAACCAGAAAAGAGATGTGAATTTAGCCAGGTGTATGACACTAGGGAATGCTACGGTAGGAGAATGTTCTGCTTTAATACAGTCAGATTCACTTAAAAGCACAAGTAAACAACCACCACACCACTGTACAGTCAACCCAGTCAGGACAGCCTGTGGGCCCCTAGTTTGCAGCTTCAGGTATAAGAAATTTATGGTGTTGGTCCATATTGATAATGAAATTGAGAAATAAAGGAGCAGATGCTAAATATCCATCATGTTCCTTTAATGTGAACTCCTGGGAAGTTTTGAAGAATATAAATATTTCCGATTACCAAAAAAATATAGTTGGTCCATGACTGAAATTTTTTTTTTTTTACTATAGTGATGTTTAAGGAGCTGTATGAAACTGTCCAATATTTAAGGCTAGCTAGTTTTATCTCAAGCCACATATCTAGGTGTAGATTCAAGATTAGGATTCCATTTACTTTCCATAATCACATGTCTACAGTCCAGCTTTCTCTATCACTTTCCTAGTTATGCCACACAATCTAGCCTTTCAGATTGCTTAGAATTCCAATATTATAATACTCTTCCAGTCTCCTCATACTCTTCCACTGCTTTACACCTATATAAGTCAAATAAGACTCATCTCAAACGTCTCCTTCAGGCAGGCTTTGCTGAGCCCTAAACCTCAACTAAATAATACCTTTTGTTCTGCTTCCTAAGTATCCTCTGCATATCCTTTGATATACATAACTCTGTGATCAGTTTACATCTAGTCTGTCTTCTCTACTAGGTTGTCAACTCTTTAAAGGCAAATATGGTTGTCTTTCATCCCATCTCTAGAAGCCTTCATTCACTGAATAAAAATGAATTATATTCTAATTATTTTTTTTAGACCATAGAAAACTGAGTGTTTGCAGTTTTTAGGAGTGTATAGCAAATATTGTCACCATTAGGGAGAGGAATAGATTTGTTTAAAACCACTAGTAATCTAAACTCGTGTTAAATTTTATTCCAGTGCTCAAAATAAAATCAATACTTAGTTACTATAACAAGTTGGTAGTACTGTATTGGCACTAATTTACTTTATGAACCTTATCTAAAGATACCATAATTAACACATCATTTCTACACATTAGCAAGTGTTTTGGGCAGAGTCCACAGATAATTATAGGCCTGAAAGGTTCTCATCAATGCTTTCATAATGTAGCTCTTATTTATATATGCTGATCAATTTGGACAAACTATAGCAGTTTAATAATGAAACAGTCTGAAGGAGTGGAGGAATTTTAAGTTTAGGTTGCATTTAATCCAGATTGACAGTTAGTGCTTGCATTATTTATGTTCCAGTTTAAAAAAAAATATTGCACAATATTCTGCCATATGGCTGAAGAAAATGAAACTTGGTTTTATGTGAATACTGAGGTCACAAAATCTATCAAGTTGAATTTTAAGAGCATTTTAAGAGAATATTATGTGTTAAATTTTATCTACTGTACCAGTTAGGATCTTTTCAGAAGAGATTATAAAGAGTTGTATTTCTAAATGCAGTTTTATGATTCCCTTAAAGAATGTACCTGAACTTCCGGACACTACAGAGCATTCTAGAACTGACCTTTCCCGTGATTTAGCAGCATTGCATGAGATTTGTGTAGCCCATTCAGATGAACTGCGAACGCTCAGTAATGAGCGTGGTGCACAGCAGGTAGGTTTTTGCCAACCTTTAAGATTCTTTGGGAGATGATAAATAGCTGAATTAGTCTTATTAATTATATTATTAAGTTTTTGAGAATCTGCATCATAATCCACAAAGATCTCAGCAAACAGGAATAATGAGCCCAGACTAAGATTATGTATTTTTAATACTGCAAAATGTCAAATCTTGCTTTTAAGTTAATGTGAACTCTACTGGAAAATGGTGGTGTTCATGCACTTCAGTGGCATGTATGAAAATGGTAAGTGAGCTAATGATGTCAGTAGTGATGTGGCTTTTTCTGTCTCTTCTGTCAGTCACACACATGGTGCATGGCCAAGTACTTTTCAAACTGTCAAACACACGAGAATTATTCAGGAAGATTGGTAAAAAGATTTCAAGCTGTAGATCCAGAGATTGTTTAGTGTGGCCTTAGAAGAGCTTATCAAAAATGGCAGTTTCTAAGAACGGTCACCACAGTGGCCAACCATTTGGCAAGGACCTTATAGAAGAGATTAGCACATTGAGAGTGGTGATTCTGAGTTCTCAATCTGAGATTCTAAAATTCTCAAGGTTTTTCGAGTTTAGATAACAGCATGGATCATTTAGGTTCCAGTCACTTGAGAAACTTATGCAGAATATGTGCCATGGACCTACTTGTATGCCCTTGGCATGTACAATGCCTTCTTGCCACACTGACTTGCTTTAAGTATTAAAAAAAATCTTATTGGAGAATTATTAGGCTGTAACCTGACTGCCCTCATGTGCTCCTGTAGGGCTTGAGATGTGTCATTTATAATGATAAATCTTTCTTCTGTAAGGTGTTCTAGTCTAGTAAGGTGTTCTAGTCTAGAGAGTGTTCTGGCCTAAGTAGGTATGAGAATGCCAAACGCAAACGAGTTTCTGTTTACTTTACTTTAGTGTACAAAAATTCTCTTCTATCGCGACCAAAATAACATGACCTAGTCAAGGGCTGAATGATACATACTTACAATTTTATGCTCTTTTGAGTAGAATGGTAATATTATTTTATTTATTCCTTTGCATTTATATGGCTTTTTTCAAATCCAGGTTCCCATCCCTGACATTTGATCAAGCTTTCATTTATTAATTATTTTCATACTGTTTTTCCTTGTCTAGCACGTACTGAAAAAGCTTCTGGCTATAACAGAGCTGCTTCAGCAAAAACAAAACCAGTATACAAAAACTAATGATGTCAGGTAGCAGCCTTCGCCGCAGTGTTCTGCATGGATTCAGCATGCCCAACATGGTAATTCACATCAGTATAATGTCTCCTTTGCTCTTGCCAAAAAAATAGCACACCTTTCCACATTCCAGTGATGTGTGAACTATGCAAACAAAACTCGAGATTCTGCTGGTGAGTAACTGCACCAGCAGCTTTGTAAGCTATCTGTGCAGGATATTTGCACTTTTTTTCCACATATGGAATCTTTACCAACCTCTGAGCCTTGGTGTACAGATCACCTTTCACACAATGCTATGACCATATCTTGAACTTGGAAAATATATTTTCAATACATTCAATTGCCAAAGTTTTGCTGTCTCTTGGAAACAGAACTGAAAAAAAGCATTCTGTTGACAATTGAGTATAACTGGATTGCAGACTGCTCTTACTGTTACTTCTTCCTGAATTAGGAATATGACCGTTTGACTGTTCAATGACTTTATTTGTATTTACAGTTTCCAGAGTTTACCATTACAATAGGAACACTCTTTGCTGTATACTTTTTTTTTTAAATAACTGCTATTTCTCTTTGCTGGAACTGTTGAAAGAAAATATATAGAATGGATCTCTTGCTCATCAGCTTTATTTTTTAAACATACCACTTATTTTGTTCGAATTGTCAAAGACTGTATTTAGATCTCATAATGCTTTTTTGTTAAATGTTTACAACAGTAAATAGTTTGAATTCAATAAATATTATTGGTCACTGTGTACTGATCAACGCATGTTACCCATTCAACCGTTTTATAGATTACCGATTTCTTTTATATGTTTAAAAACCCTAAAAACCCTAGAATGCTTTCATTGAAAGTATTCATTAATTCCAAGTTGATTTTTTAAATTATGCAAACAATTTCATCAGCCACTGAACAGCTCATCTTTACCCTTCTGACTACTTGTTGTATCTGCTGGATATTTAGTTTGACTGTATAGTTTTATTTGCTTCTGTATGTGTATTTTTGTGAAGTATTCACAAGGGTTAAGTTAAAATAAAACCAAGGGATATCATAAATATCTGATTACTTCTGTCTAAATACAGCTAAACATTTAATTTCATTATTTTCTTCCTCCTTTTAGGGGCAGTTCAAATTTAGTACCAGAGCAAGGCCCAGGGAGATGAAACTTGAGATTTTTTTTTCTGGCTGATGGTCTCTTGAAGGATTCCATTACGTATTTGTTAACGATTCTTTCGCTCCCATAACTGTGCAGGGTAGAGAAGGCATACAAGGCGAGCCAGACAGGGATGTACTGGGAAAAGCATTTCCCCACTTTAGAAAATTTTTTCTAAAGGCCTAGGTTCTAAGAGCAACACTTTGTTTCTTCCTGTATTTTAAAGTGTTAAAACTATACTAGCAGAAATTTTGTGAACCCTCAGTAAGCTGCAAGTATTAAATGCTGTTATTTATGTAGAGGTAGCTAGCCCTGAAGTAGCTGCTAGCCCTGAAGTAGCTGCGATCACAGTTGAACAGTGATAGCAAAACACAAACACACCAGGTGCTTTTTCTTGATGTCAACCCAATTCCATATTTTCTCCTCTGCTTTTCAGTTAGACAACAGTATGCCATTTGGTCTCCTTCCAGGATAGACTAAAAGGGGTATGGACATCTCCGAAAACATTTCAACAATATGCAAAAAGGTCTAGATTCTAGTGCTCAGCAATTTGTTCTCTCCCACTACTCACATCTCAGTTTTAACCATGCTGACCTGCCATTTCTCAATCTGAACTGCTTCTCCTGCCTTTTATTTCTAAACAAACCCACAAACCTAAAGACACTCTGCTTTTTTAAATTTTAATGACATGCTTATTATCTCTTAAGCTGGAATAGGAAACTTGTCATTTACCTTTGTAGGCCTTGGAGTAACTTAGCTGGTCACTACACATTTTTTTTAAAGGGGCTGGGTAGGAAAATTTTCAGAGATTGCTCTGACGCCAAACTTTAGTGACCTAAAAAAGAAACAAGATAAATTCGGACCACTGCTTCACCGGGACTGCAGTGAAGGACTGTCAATTTCGGCTTCTTCCCCTCCACTTTTATAAAATCACACTTAGTGAATTTTATTCCTCATTCCTCGATGAGAAGGAAATTAAAACAACGCAAACCTAAAATCTAAAGCATTATTAAAGGATATGCATAGAGTAAATACTACCTTCAAATACTGAAATGTAATTAAATGGTACCTACACTTTATGGAAAAGTACATCCTGGGATGCACTGAGGAGAGGTTTGCATCTGTAAAACTTACTTAGACTTAGGGCAATTGAGTTTCCCAGAATTCCTTCAACCTCATTTTCCAGAAACAGTCTGACCTTCATAATTTGGTTCCAACTCTAGGAACTGAATAAGATCACAGTTAAATAACTGAATAAATGCTATAGTAGTCAACATTCCTTAGCACTTTTAAAACTGACTAGTAACTAAGTTTTGTTTTTTGTGGTGCCTTTTCAGAAAAAGATAAGTTTGCTTAATGACATCTTGTGTAAACAATATAGGCAAATAAATTACAGCTTTAATTTGGCTACCATAGAAAGACTGATTTGATATTAGTCATGGTGGGGCAAGATTACCCAAACCAGGTGCTTTTCTGGCTCCTTTGAAGATGTTTTATTTCACATAAAGGTATCCTGAAAGGAAAAACTTTTAAATAACATAAATAGAAAAGTTTAATATACTTTGATGCTTTCACATTACTTCATTTTTAAAGTTAAATGCCAGATATGCTTCATCCTTCTGTTGATTAGTTAGCATTGACAAATCAATTTCAGATGGTTAGAGGGAATCTACCAGGTCATCGTCAGTCCATTCTTCCTAAGAAGGAAAGAAAATGTTACAAGGATAACATTATACTGAAGCATAACCAGTACTGTTTACCTTCTTGCCTCCCTTTAGGAAAATGTTCTCCTTTTGCTATGATTATAAAAGGTAAATAAACCAGGAAAATGTGTAGCAGTTTAACCTTATAATAATATGGCATGGTCTCACCAGACTAGTCCAGTGACAGGAATAAACGTTACAGTTGTGAACTTCTGAATAAATGATTATTCATTTTTATCTGACTTGCCAGGTACAATTTTTTTTTTTAAACAAGGTAGGAGAAGAATCCTTGAAGATCAAAAAATATATCCCTACTGCCTTCTATGACCTTAGGAGGGATTCTTCATCAAGTAATTATTATACTGCTTCAGAACAGGCCAAGACAGAAGTGAGAAAAATTCCTCTAATAATGGACAATGTACATAAAGGATGCAAAAAAAAAAGAAATGAAAGCTTTCCAATACCCAACACCTGTCTATAATGCTTGCACTCTGGAACAGTAAAATCCTAACATTATGGTTGTACCAGAACATACAGCAATGAGAACTTAAAATTTACCTTTGGAGAACATACCTCCTCATGTTTGGATTTCTTTGAGACATAATCATCATCTTCATAACCTTTCCTCTTTTTCCTGTAATTAAGCAACCATCAACCTTATACTGGCAACAGAATCTAGAAGCTAGCAAGGCTATGAGATACATCTATTGAAGAACAAAGCCTGGATAA